CATTAACTGGAATTCACTTAATTACCCTAATAGAAAAACGTGAAGTTTTGAAAAAGTTACGTGATGAAACTTTTTTATGAAGGTAGGAATACGAACGATTTTTGAAAATGAATATTTTTTTAGAACGTTTTAATTAGATTTATCGATGCTTACCTTGTTGAAAGTAATTGGCTTTTCGAAGAAATACGCAAACCAAGGCCATAAGCTGCAGCTGGGAAAGTCTCTGCCTGGTTGAGGGCGGTAATGGCAGTAAATCACGTAAGTTGGCGATTTCGGCATTTATCAGGTCCCTTCGAAGTTTGCTGGCACCTTTCGTTGACTTGCTCGCATCTATCCTTCAAGCACACGCGGATGTTACCGATACGAGACACTTTTCATTAACGGCTGGCCAACAAATCGGCATCTAAGGAACGCACATCGCGTGCACTTCTCCCAAGCAATTTCAAGCATTTCTCGAATTTATTACAACGATCGATTACTAATGTCTACGTGTTGTAACGTTCAAAGCTTTTTTTAAGGGCCGACTCATCAGTGGAAGTTTCGCGAGAATTAGAATATGTTTTACAGTTTTTCACACATCTATTTATGATTTCCCTTTCATTTATAAAGACCATGCCAAAGAGAATAGTAAACCTTTGATCGCGTTAACCGGTGAAGGCCCAACCGTTGCGATTCGAATCTCCCCGACGCGGTCCGGTATATCAACGATGTGGCGAACGCGCTCGCGAAAGGGGTAGAAATCACGATCGACGGTCAATGCTCGATGGACAAGCGGGCACCCCGGGACTCGTTAAGCGTGTCACTGGTCGACGCGACGGTCCTCGGTACCGGGCATTACTTACCGATTGAACATATTTCGGTGGCCAGGAGGACATTAGTAGCGGATCACTTGCGGACGACGACGAACGAGACATCCGGGTCGGCAGGTTCTCGCAAAACTGCAGCTACGATCTAACATCCGGGTCATAACGCGCTACTACACTGAACACGTGGATACTGGCGGAGGCTGGTTCTCCTACCTTCTCACCTCCTCGGTCCCCCGTTTTCCCCTGTTGCCCCAGCGGCCACCACCGCCACCCACCATTTCGCCTCCCTTTCCATCCACCACGACCGATGCCCGTCCTATCCCGTTCTACCGCGCTCAACTCCAGGTAAGTACGATAATCACTTCTCTCTGTTTCCCGCTGTTTATACTCCTTGGTCGCTCCCACTCATCGATTCATCTCGCTCGTTTATTCCCTTTCTACACTTTTTCGCTCGCTCGCTCCTTTACCCCGTGCTCGGTTCCGTGCTGCCGCTACCACGGTCACGATCCGGGCACGATCGTGTCCCTCTGCCTACCACCACCGCCATCCTCGCCACCACCGTCGGCTACTGGTCGTGTTTCCCGTGCATAAGGTTCTCCACTGCCCGGAGTATCATTTGCGCCAAGTCCCGCCTCGGGAACTCGTCGGTACCGGTACCAGGGTACCATACTGTGATTCTGTTCAAGTGAGCTTAAGGACCTCCGAGCGCAGCGAGCCTTTAAGAAAACGCGCTAACACCAACGCGTACTTTGTTCCAAGAGGTGATTAGATTCTCGATTTGTGTTAGAAAATCATATTTTTTCAAATTATACAAACTTGAAATATATGTATAAAGGAAGACGTTAAATGCAAGGGGTTGCACAGGTTTTAAAAGAATTATAGTGAGTATAGTATTTGGTTTCTTCTCGTGGATGTGAGACTTATTATTTTGATAATGATAATTATAATGAAATAGCACTCTGATGACTATTTTTAATAAATATAATAATTGACACGTACATACTATAAAGTTTATTTTTCAATCATTTTAAACACGATATGTATAAGACATGTAAATTATAATTTAAATTCATAATTTTCAATTAATTTTATGCATTGTTAAATTAAATACGGATGTAAATATTTGCATAAAAACATAAATTAATTAGAAGTATCGATTGTAACGTCGATTGGATTTAGTAATATTAAATACTACTGTAGGAATAATACCGCGATTTTATGTATGTCGAAATAATAGATGATTGGATTGGATTAAATTACATTTGCATTTCATGTACGTACATGTATTTCTAATGAAATTTATAGACATTACAATTCGTTATCAACGCGTGGATCGTAATTAAAAATTACAAAGTACGCATTAATGGGATATAAATCAGTGGTATCGATAATGCATGCATGTGTATTAGAAAATGAGGCACTTAATACGCGTACCATAATTATTAATACTTTTTATTTACAAAATAATGGTTCCCACAATTTGTGTTTTACTATATTACGATAGACCTCCTTACGCAAAATAAAATGTGTATTGTACTAAGCTTTTATAAATCCTCTTTTACCAATCGATGCGAATAATTCAATCTGTGTCGACGAGTAAAATAATTGTATGCAGCCAAAATATAATGATTGAATTAAATTCGTATTATACGTATTGCGGCCAATTTACACGTAAAAAATATATTTCTATAGGATACGTTATTTCATTGATTTTATTATAATTTATGTGTATAAATGCACATATATCCAATTCTACAAAAATTTAATATCCGTTTCGAATACAACAGTCCCAAAAGACACATATAAAGTTCGACAATTCACGCTATTCTAAAAAATAAATGTTGATTACTTTTGTGGAAAGAAAGAGGTGATCTATATGTGAGTCAGAAAAACGTGTTAAATGTCTCGCATCGTACCTACGTTTTATTCGGTTTCGTTGCTAAAAATATATATATATATGTATTTCTTAATTATTTTTACTTGCTATTTTTTGAAACGCAATGTAAATCAATATTTAATTGCGTGTTACGTCTAACATAAATACCCTAATACGTTGATGATATATTTGATTTTACAGTTGCAATTGTCCACTATCCGAAAGTACATATTTATAATAAATAAAATTATCCGGCATGGCTGTGAAAAAAAGAATTTTTTTCACATTTATTCCGCAGACGGTTATCAGAAAAATCGTTAAAAATATTGTAATTGCCAATTGCACTTAATTGACTATGATTTTTATTCCAGTACAACTTTCACCTGAACTTAAAAATAAATATACTCCGTGCACCAAAATTGCGCGTGATTCTTAATACACATCATTCCTCTGTTAAAGTACACGTGTATGATTATTATTTATGCTCAATCGTTTTGAGTGGTCACGTAATGTAATATTACAATCCCAAATGAAACGTATTACTTTTAATCATTTTATGTTTAAGTATTTTTATTGAACATGTGCTGCTTCAGCAGTAAGTCATAAAACCGGCACTCGTGTATCTTATTGTTAGTTTCGTCGTTATCACGCGCGTGTACAAAATCATACGAGCTCAAACTAATTGGGAGTTTCAAGAATTTCATAGAATACGAGAAACCTTTTCTTTCCTCTTGCCCCCTCCAAGAGAGAAATAAGAATTTCTACCGAATTCTGAATATAATTATACATACATACATACATATAATTCCAAGTTTCATATACCATCATTTTGTATATTGAAAGATTGAAATTGTTTGCACATCATTAATTCGTACGTTAGCTCTGAGCGTCATTCAATGATAAGAAACTTGTTTACAGTGTTTCCTTTGCTTTTCGTATACACAACGATTATCAATCATCTGTATCATACAGAAATCGAACAAAGAAGCAAAATGAAATGCAATCGAAACATATGTATTTTGTTAGTCGTGGACATCGATGAAACTTAAGAAGTGACAAAGCTACAATAATAATAATAATTATCATAATAATAATAATAATAATAGTAGTATTACTATTTATGATCCAGCTAATTCTCTACTATCATCATCCCACTCGTTGAAGCTTTTAGCCTTATCTTCCTTGTCGCTCTTTTCCGAGTCCTGTCCCCCCTCGAGGTGCTCCTCTTCGATGATCATAACAGACTCCTGCGACTCAGCCGCACTACTACTCTGTTCGCTGCATTGCTCGTCATACTCAACTATTTCTGTCTGTTCCTCTACGTACTGTATAACTTCCTCGACCGAATCCGAATTACATTCCTCCAGCTGTTCAATTTGCATCTCCTCTTCTTCCCCCTCCTCTATTACTTTCTCCTCCACTTCTTCGACCACTTCCTCCACTATCTCTTCAGTCTCTTCCGCCGGATAATTCTCATACGTCTGCCGGTCCGTATCGTCGTTACCGTGAATATAAACGATCATTCCGTCCTCCGTACCCTGCATCACGATCTGCTCGTTATCGCTAATGTTCAACTGCTGCGGCTGTTGTTGTTGCTCATTTTCCTGCTGCTGATAGTTCTCGCTGTCGATCAGCATGATCATGTGCTGCCCATCGAGCTCGTGCGTGTTGTAAGTCATTTCGTGCGAGATGTTGTTCAATTGTATGTTCGGCACTATGAACTGTGAGTTCGCGTTCGAGGCCGTCTGTTCGTGCGACTCCGCGGTGACGGCATCTCCAACGCTCAGAGAAGCTGCTATGCCGCTCGCCACATGGCTCAGAGCTTCCGCCTCCGAGGACGGTTCCAGCGTGATCTGCGGCATGGACCCCGACGCCCCGTCGGATTTCCACAAATTCTTGTGCACGCAATCGAGATGAACTTGTAGATTCGTAGCTCGCACGAACACTTTACCGCAGTGAAGGCAACGATGACCCTTTTCCTTGCCGTCCGCCATAGCGCCATGGCCGGCGTTAATTTCGTGGTTAGTCAATTCAGCGACGTCTTTGAACGTCTGCGAACACTGCGTGCATTGAACTTCCTCTATGGCTGACGTATGTTGACGCGTCGTAGGTCGATGATGGTGATTGATCTGATGTCTGACCAGAAGCGTCTCCGACAATGCCACGTAATTGCACTCCTGGCATTTTGGGAAACACATGCTTTTCGGCGGAGGCACGTTGTGTTTCGTATAAAGATGGTACATTAGAATGTTCCGCTTGGTCGCCTTGTAGCCGCAGTGTTCGCACACCCGCGGATCGAATTTCTCCTCGTGCACGTCTTGCATATGCCTTCTATACATATAATAGTTTGTATATTCTTCTTCTAAGTCGCACTTGTTACATTTCCAAGGCCCGGTACCGCCGGCATCCATACTCCCGTTACTCTTCGATTCGGTTTCCTCATCATTATTGCTCGACATCAGATGATCAGACTTCAGAACTACGTAAGACACTTTAGTTTTCGCTGAATTGTCCGAGGACTTCGCCTCTTTCTGCATGATTTTCAAGCGTATGTTTTTATTGTTCTTCACTAGATGAGGATATTTCTTCAATACCTCTCGAATGATTTTCGCATGATTGTTAATCGACTCCTCCGAATTCGATCTGTGCGACGATTTACCTTTTTCCATGTTCTCCTTCTCTTCCAAATCGAATCGTACCTTCTTGGACGGCGAAGGCTGCGAGTCTTGGCCCCTTTGGAAACATCTCGATACAGACCAGTCGTCGTCCGAGTTCATTTCTTTCAGACCTTTATCATTCGCGTGACCCTCGTCCTCCTCGTCTTCGGTTGTGTCGTTCTTACTCTCTCTGTCTGGCGAACATTTACCGCTAGGTGATCTGTTTCGCTTGTATCTATCCGGCGCTTGCACGATCGGTTTCGTATTATAAGTAATGTCGTCGAACGAGGAGAACACGCCAAGCGCGAATTCCTCGGCTTCGGGGAGGTCGAACCGAGAGGGTCCAGGAGTCACCTCTGTAGGCCTGTTTGTCGAAGGCATCCCTTGGAATGTTCGCATTTCGTAATTAAGCGATGGTGTGCACTGTGGTGTATCTAATTTCCTTTTCCAGATCGGAAGCCTTAAAAAATGAAAATAATAATTGCTTCGAGAACTCTGAATTTTCACGAGTTACATTTGCTAATATACGACGGCGAATGTGGATTTCATTAATGATGATTTGTATACTTACTTTCTACCTGGCAACGGTTGAGATGAAAGTCCTGATGATGAAGTGGATGTAGTGGTCGTGGCGGTAGTAGTAGCAGTTATTGTTCCTGTTGTTGTTGGCTTAGCGCTAAGTATTGAAGGCTTCGAAACTGCTATTACTGGCCGCGAATTGCACTTCGTCGACTGTTCATTTTGCAAAGGAGTAGTGTTAAATTGCGCGTCAAGTAATTTCGTTAACACAGTCATGTTCATTTTCTGTGCTGTACGATACAAGGCATTTTGTTCGGATGTCCAATACTCCAATTGACCAGTATACATAAAACTAAAAATATATTGTAATTATGTACAAGTACTGTCTTTAAAAGTTAGTACATAGATTGCACAACGATCTACCTTATAATTGACTTGACACACTCATATGGCATATCTGGTGGCATAATGATAACACCATCGAAATTTTCATCCTTCTCCTTTTGCTCACGTTCAAGTTGCACGAAATAATCTGTACATGTTGTTATGACTAATCGATGGGCCTGGAATATTAATACAAAATTTGTCAGAAAATCTGTCACCCCGACAAATCATTAAGTAAAAGGTTTCTCTTAATGAGAAAAATACCTGAACGGTGATGTCGCTCGTGGGAAATTTAATCGTAAGGTCAAGTAACTCTTCATCAAAATAAAGTTGTTGAAGTCTTTGAAGGAAAAAGGTTCCCCAGTTGTCTACCTTCACTTGTTTCAACCCCCGCGAAGGAAGCTGTTTTTCTTGATTAACAGATTCCATTCTGTATCTTTACATTGACAGTACGAAGAATTACCTTTGCAAGATATTGATACCATTAGTAAATTTTATTGTACTTTACATTATTCTTTAAAAATACATAAATAAAAGTAGTCTGATCTTTAGAGAATACATGTACATTGTAACATCTATGCTAGAAAACAAATAATTCTATTATTACATAGACATTGAATGAATTTGTGAAAACTAATTAATTTCTGCATTAGCTAAGGAAAATGATGATATATTTCCTTACCTGATGCTATCAAATTTAATTATACAGTAAATGTACTTGTGTTCATAGTCCGATCAGACCAAATCCTGTAATGTAAAAGAATAACAAATATGACAACCTTGACCTTTGCAATTACACAGTAACAAACGGTACTTATTCTACAGTGAGTTAACAGAGAAAGGAACTTTTTGTACCCATTATTACCACGATTGAATTATGAGAATTTTAAGTCTTATAACGGATATTTACAACTTGACTGCACTAGAAACATTACTTAACATTCCTGAGAACAATCTCTTCTTATGTGTGACTGAAATATCACAGAATCCATGTCACAAGAGAAACAATTATGCTTCAGTGTAATTATTTAGCAATAAGTTAACCTGACTGCTCTCTAGAAATCAAAAGTATCACATCCAGCATTATGATAATAACGCACCGCGGGGTCCATTGACATCGAAATATGGGTCTGTAACTTACGATAGCGAACGGGCCAACAGCAGCGGAAAAATTCTTTAATTAGCATCAGAGTATCGTGCACATATTGTTAGGATCAGTTCGAAATTGAATTACAGAACAAAATAATCGGAAAAATAAGTATTATGCTATGCGAACAGAGAAAGGTAAACGAAATGTTGTACCGAAACCATCAACGTATACTTTGCGACATGCTGAAAAACGGAAGTTTAATAACGATGCATATCTCTCTTTCACGATCGAACTCGAGCATGTTAATTGTTTTATTTCGAATATATACAAATTCAAAATACCCCGTGAATGTATTTGCACGTACCTATTTAACAATATTTTAATATTCGTCTCAGCTCCATCTCTTATAAATTTCCTTAGTGCGCCAGTAATATTGAACATTCCATTGTGTATCAGACCTCACAGATGGAGTTGAGCGTATCGACTTCCTACGGAAACCGAGTGAAACCGGACAACTGGAGTTACTGAAGTATAAAGAAGTCTGTAATTCACATATGCATGACATGGACGTTCGAGCTCTATTTTATGGATTAATTACTGTTTAACTGGAAACGATAAATGGAAATAAAATTGGAATTACATAATCTAATAGATTTTATAGGTGGGCGGAGGATGCAGACGCAGCACGGTTTTCCTAAAGCTATTAGAATTTTACCCAAACGTCTGGGACGGTTAGGGTATTTTTAGGCTGTGCATCCATGTATCTTCATGTTTCGCAACTACCTTCTCGAGCATTAGAGTCGTCAGAGTCAGAGTCAAAGCTGCAGAGCTGCTGCCACTGCGGACTGCATGCAACTGCATGCATTTATTTTTTAATGAGATAAATCGAGCACGGAAATAAACTTGAGGTCAAGTTTCGGCTGTTCTTGATAATAACACGAGTGACATGTATGAAACATTCGCTGATGTCATTAATAATCGATGATTAAGCCCGGAAGGATCCCAATGGAAAGCGCGCAATGTATTTCCATAAAATGGGTGGACACATGTACGGGCTTTGAAAGCTGTCACTGGGCGCTACCATTTATTTTTTGTTTTTCGTCGAATATTCGATATTCTACTATTCTCCGAAACGGATATCACGATTTCTGAGAATGGAGAAGATAATGCCTTATCTGAATCGAAATCGATTTTAACAGACAGTTGGAAAAGAGAATATAATTAACATTCTGTAAGTAAACATTTTGACAGTTGTACTCTTGAACTTGAATTTGAAATAATACTTGTCATGCTATGCGAATAAAATGATTATTTATAATTTGGACCGACAGGTTTTGTAGGATGATGAGGTTGAATTTTAAAACAGTATTACTTGTGATAGTAGTTGCAGTATTAAGTTCAATATTAACATCATGGAACAATTGTGGCAGTCCATCATTTTTCAAAAGTACTGACTGGAAGTCCAAATTCCAGAATAGAGTAAGCTAAAAGCATCGCAATTTTAAGTACTTTATATAAGAAATTAACATTCTGTTTATCTCTATTTGCTTTGTAAAGGACAAATTGAATGTGGAAACTGGATATCAAGAAATAGACTGTCACATAAATGGAGATTACTCCATTGGATGCCGCAAGGAAGGAGATGAAGTTTATATACCGTTTTCATTTATTCATAAATACTTCGAGGTAAATACCATAACTACATTTCAGTTCTGATGAGACACTTATATTTCTGAAACATTACAGATTTATGGGAAGCTAGCGACTTACGATGGCTTGGAAAGATTTGAATGGTTGCATAGTTATTCAAAAATTGTCAATCCCAAAGGGAAATATGATCCCAGAGGAGTATTCATGACTTTCGAGAACTATAACGTCGAAGTCCGCGATCGCGTTAAATGCATTAGCGGGAATGACGGAGTGCCGATATCTACTCAGTGGGAAAGTCAAGGATATTTTTATCCTACTCAAATTGCTCAATTCGGGCTGTCGCATTATAGTAAAAATTTAACGGAACCAGAACCTCGCAGGAAGATCATAGAAGATTCGGATAAAGTTAAAAGGGAATGGATTATACTACAAGGATCTATCGCGAGCAGAGTGTACGATAAACACGTCAACAGCCACGTGATGAAATTTGCGACGCCAGAAACAAGCACTTCCGGGATCACTTTAAAATTGGATCACGTACTAGATTTTGTATTGAAATGGGACTTCAACATCAAGGACAATGGGAGCATTATGGTCACGCTGCAATCGAGGGAGAGGAAGGAAATATATTATCTTCATTATGTCAGTAGTAACGTAGTATTGCACACGTACAACAATCATGTTTATTACGGAATTGGTCAAATTAATCACCAGTGGAGGAGATTTACTAGAGACTTAGTGATAGATTTACAAAAAGGTTTATACTTAAATGATAAAAATAAGAAGAAACTGTCTCGTTCGAAATTAAAGGTAACTTGTGGCTATAGAAGTTAGTAGATAAAACATTTGTTTAAATCATTAAAACTATAATCGCCTGGCAGATGGTGAAGATAACATTATATGGATCTGGGATGATCGATAATGTAACATTGTCGACGAGCGAACACATGGAGCAGTTCTATGATGCAGCTAGATGGTTCGTCGCTAACCAGAATATTAGCTCTGGTGGATGGGCGAACCCTGTTAGAAGGAAAGTAGCACCCGGAATGGCTACTCTTGAACCTGGATGGTATATTCCATTTAACTGAATTATCAAATTTTTTGTGATTATCTATTATCTATAAACGTTGTTTCCATTACATAACGTTTATAGGTACTCTAGTATGGGTCAAGGACATGCTATATCTGTGTTAGCAAGAGCGTACTATCATTCCGGCGAAGAACAATATCTACAAGCCGCTGTTAGAGGCTTGCAGCCTTTTAGAATATCTTCTAGTAAAGGAGGAGTAGCTGCAGTATTTTTAGGTAAATACGTATGGTATGAAGAGTATCCTACAACGCCTTCCTCGTTCATACTCAATGGATTTATATATTCTTTAATCGGTTTGTACGATCTGAAAAGCATAGCTACGGGTAAGGATGCGGAAGAGGCATCCAGGCTTTTCAATCAGGGTATGACGTCTTTGAAAAACATGTTAACGTTGTACGATACAGGTTCTGGTACTACGTACGACTTACGTCATTACACATTAAAGACAGCCCCGAATTTAGCTAGATGGGATTATCATTCCACTCATGTTAATCAGCTTCTTCTCTTAAACTCGATTGACAGCGATCCAATTTTCACTACCACCGCTGAACGGTGGATAGGGTACATGAACGGTAAAAGAGCAGCACACAATTAAATTGTTTTGGTTTCTAACGATCGACTGATTTTTCTAGCATTATTATTACTCATGACAATTTTCTATCTGGTTTTCTCTTCCGCTTTTGTACATTTTGTAAATAATTTTGAATAGACACGGAAATGGACCAAAGTATGATTATTTGTGCACGTACTTATTGTTGGAGGATAATTAGGATCGATTTTCCGATACTTTATGACGATCATAATTTCTTCAATTCTTGAAGAGAAAACTACTATATTCACCATGGCAAATTATTTTTAGTTGAAGCTTAGTGCATTGTTACATTTAAAATGAGCTTATTTAATCCGTAGGTAGAAT